AGTTGGAAGAATCTTATTGCTAGCTGGTCTAGTGGCTAACGCGACGGGCTTGAGTTTTGAGATCTATGACCGCGGGTTCAATCCCGGCCGGGGGTATGGTGTGGACCGTTGTTGCATCACTGCTGTCTGGACCGTTGTTACATCACTGTTGTGTGGACCGTTGTTACATCACTGTTGTGTGGACCGTTGTTACATCACTGTTGTGTGGACCGTTGTTACATCACTGTTGTCTGGACCGTTGTTGCATCACTGTTGTCTGGACCGTTCTTTCACAGGTGAATAACTTGTATGAGTTTCAGTAAGATCCGTCAAATTAGTTACCATGATATAAACTTCAGAACAACCCCTCTCCCCTTTCCCTGAAAAGCAGCTTTTCAGACAATCAAATCAAGCTAAAACACTGTGAGTGAAAAGTTCGCATCTACATATAAATTACTGTCTGGATGTGTGAATGACTGAGATGAAGGCCGTTTGCCTGTAGTCACATTTGTTTTGTAGAGGAATATTGACTTTACTGACACCCCTTGGAACTTCCCATGTAGGGGGTAGGTGACGTTCCAGTATCCTTTGCATAAATAACCAGTACATAGGAGAGAAAAGCTTACGACGACGTTTCGGCCCGACTTGGACCATTTACAAGTCACACTAACATGCAACGGGCTGGAGTTTTGAGACTCTCTGACCGCGGGTTCAATCCCGGCCGGGGTATGGTTTATTTCACACTAACACAAAAGAGTGATGGAGCTAGGATATATAAGCGAGGGGGACAGGGATGGAACCAAGAGAGGAAGAAAAATGAGTAGTGGTAGTGGTAATGCTGATAGTGGAAGTAATAGTGGTAGTAGAAAGTAGGGAGAGTAGTTTTAGTGGCACAAGAGATAGAAAGGGGAGTAAAGGGTGAAAGAAGGCAATAATAATGGTAGCTGTAATAGTAATAGTAATGGAATGGTAGTAGAAGTGGGGTAGTTCAAGGACAAGAAAAAGGAACACTGCAGGAAAGCTAAAGGCCCAAAAGGGGTAAGACCAAAAACGCAGGGGTAAGGAGAAACTGAAGGCCAGAACACACTTAGGCAGAAGAAAGGAAAACAAAGAAAGAAAAAAAGGAAAAAAAAAATAGGAAAGGAGAAGAGGTAGGGAGAGGAGAAGAAAGGATCAGGTCAAGTCTAGAGTGTCCTGTAATTTGGAACATTTGACAATGTAATGAGATAGGAGGCATCTACAGAGACAAAGCCAGGACTAAAATTCATATATGGAAAGTTGGGTATAAGGGATGGCTCAACAAGACAGCTGCCGTGAAGGCCATAAGTAGGGCAGACAGCTTTAGCAGAGAACCCGTCCATAGGATGACTGTGAAAAGAGCATTACTTGTGTCGGCAAGCCTAACACTTTTTTTGTGTTCTTCAAGTCTGTCAGGAAGAGAGCGGCCAGTCTCCAAAGAACTGAAGAGGGCAAGAGGAGCATGAAACAGAGCAGATACCAGGAGCATCTACTGGAGGAGGAGAGATACGAAGATTACTGGTGATTACTGGTGAAAAATAAGTTTGATGTCTAAGGAGCGGGGAGAGAGAGTTTTTGAGATTAGTTCATACCTCCTCTTGTCCTCTTCAGTACTTTGGAGAAACTGGCCGGACTTAAAGAACACAAAAATGTTGTTAGGCTTGCCGACACCAACAATACTCTTTTCTGTCATCCTATTGACTCCTCCTCTGTGTACCCTACTTCTAGCATTCAACGCCGCCATCTTGTTGAAGCATCCTTTATACACAACTTTCCTAGTATGAATCTTAGTCTTGGCTTTGTCTCTATAGATGCCTTCCTTTCTCATTACATTGTCAAATGCTCCTTTCCTATTTTTTTCCTTTTTTCTTTCTTTGTTTTCCTTTCTTCTGCTTGAGTGTGTTCTGGCCTTCAGTTTTTTCTCCCCTGTATTTTTGGTCCTACCCGTTGTGGAGCCTTTAGCTCTCTTCCATTACTATTACTATTGCTACTACCAGTACTATTGCCTCCCTTTACTCCCCTTCCATCTCTTATGCCACTAAAACTACTCTCCCTACTTTCTACTACCACTACTACTTATACTACTTCCACTAGCAGCATTACCATTTTTCTTCCTTTCTTTGTCCCATCCCTGTCTCGCCCCTCGCCTATGTATACTAGCTCCCTCACTCTTTTGTCTTAGTGTGACTTGTAAATGGTCCAAGTCAGACCGAAACATCGTCATAAGCTTCTCTCTCCTATGTGCGGGTTAGTTGTGTATTGCTCAAGTCATGGTATTGTGCCTTTTTGCTAAGTATGCTTTGTTGGTCCTTGTGACTCTCAGTACCCTGAGTCTTGTTAGTATCTGCAAATTCAACCTCAAATGACGTGCGACCCAGTTAATTTCGTTGGGTCACTTGACTTTCAGTTTCTCGAGGCTTGCATCTACAAACTTAAACTTGTAAAACATTCCTTCTTCTCATGATGTGTAGGAAAAGATATTCAGGAGGAGGCTGGTGGAACTTATAGAACGAAATTTCGTCTCATAGGACGAGTGCGAATTTAAAGAAGAGAAATATTGAAGTTTTGTCTCGGAAACCTATTGAAAGATCTAGCAAGAAGGATAAAGGTGGGTAGAATGCATGAAAGCATTTGAGACATTTCTACAGCGGGCCAGAGAATATCAAATAGACAAAAGACAGTTACGGTAAGGACAAAGCCAACAAGATGAGAGAATTATTATTATGGGGAGCGCTGAACCTGTAGTGATTATACAGCTCCTGTCGAAAGGGGATGGAAGGCATTCAGGCTTAATTCAGGGAACTGGAGAACAGATCCAGTTCCCTAGATCAAGAGCCTTTCACCAGCATCAAGGAACCTCCCTTGAGGGGACTTGTAACAGGGCTGTTACCGTTCTTATGATCAGTAAATTACCTACCAGAGGGGGTCAGATCTTGCGAATCTTTTGAGATGAATAAAAATAGAAGACAGAGAAGCAAAATGGAGACTTGTACAAGCTCTGAGTGGCCATAAATGGAGGTCAGTCCAAGATTATGCGGACCGGAGAATGAAAGAGAAGACCAGAAACTGTGTGCAGTCTAAGCCAGAAGAAACAACAACAGACCACGCAGGAACAAGGTTCTGGCAGTGAACACTGCTTTGTACATTTCGCTAGATAGTAATAATAATAATAATCATAATATCTTTAGTTCTACAAGTACATGTACAAGGTACACAGTCCTAGCTGACATCAATGACATACTACTGTATAGAAAGCCGCTTGTTATGTAGAGCATTTCGGGCAAATTAGGTTAGTTTGGTCCCAAGATGCGACCCACACCAGTCGATTAACACCGCCAGGCCACGGGTACAGATACACATAAACAATTACACAAATTATCATACATAGTAACATATGTGTAAATTAAATAGGGTAACCCAAAACACAATCAGACAAAGTGACTTATTTCCATAGGGGTCCTTGTAGATGTACATATAAAATAAAAAAAAAATAAAAATAAAGTTTATTCTCTATAAGGGTTACAATGTGGGATTTACATATGTTTGTCTTCTACATTAATTTCCTCAATTTCAGCCATAATGCAATGTATTAAATTCAACTTTATTAATAACACTGATTACAACTTACAACACTAATACAACTTACCTTTGAATAAATCCCAGCTACTTGAGCTTAGCAATTATGTGGTTTACATGTTGTAAAATACTAATTACAGAGGGGCCACTAGGACACCTAGCCTGGCTAGGCATTTCGAGCAGACTTAGATTAATTCTTAACATTAAATCCTTACAGATTATGGTATTAAGGCTTAGTGACTACATCATAATTTGTGAGTTTAGCAATGTGAATGCTTTTGTTTTGGCACAATACAAGGAGTCTATATTGGAGTATCATAGGCAAACTTATGACTAGTTAGGATTTATTATTTTAAGATTAAGATTAGTATTTCTGGGTTTATAGTCAGTGGGTGAGTGAGTGTAATTGTGAACCACCAGGTGGTTATCATGTAGTTAGTTGTCGGGGTGGATCAGGGAGATAAGATGTTTTCTAACTATAGTTTTGAAAGTGATGAATGTGTCTACAGTTCTAGAGTTTTCAGGTAGGGTGTTCCAGATTTTAGGTCCTTTGAAATACATTGAATTTTTGTAAAGATTTAGTCGAACACAGGGAATGTCATAGAGATGTTTGTGTCTGGTGTTATGCCTGTGGATCCTGTCACAACTAACAAGAAAGCGTTTTAGGTCAAGGTTAATATTGGAATTTAAGGTCCTGTAGATATAGATTGCACAGTAGTAAGTGTGGATGTTCTGAACAAGGAGTAAGTTTAGATCTATGAAGAGTGGGGGGGGGTGTTGCCAGGGATGGGATTTGGTGATTATTCTTACTGCGGCTTTTTGTTGGGTTATTATTGACTTTAGGTGTTATTATTATTATTATTATTATTAATAATAATAATAATAATAATAATAATAATAATAATAATAATAATAATAATAATAATATCTTTATTTGTACATGGTTTACAGTCCTAGCTGACATCAATGACAAATTACTATATAGACAGCCGCTTGTTATGCAGAACATTTCGGGCAAATTAGGTCAGTTTTGTCCCAGGACACGACCCACACCAGTCGACTAACACCCAGGTACCCATATTACTGATGGGTGAACATAGACAACCGATGTAACGAAACACGCTCAATGTTTTCACCCTTGCAGGGAATAGAACCCGGACCCTCAGCGTGTGAAGCGAGAGCTTTTGCCACCAGGCCATGGACAGGTTTATTGGAAACGTTTCGGTCCTGGGACCTTTTCCACTCCATATGTAACTCAAACTCAAGGGTGGGTAGGCAGGGATGCTGTCACGGGGGAGGCAGGGATGGGCAAGGAAAGCAGGGATGGGCAGGGGAGAGCAGGTAGACTGAGATGAGGAAGATGTAAGGTTGCTGAGGATGACCAGGACCCCACCACCAGCCCCGCCCAACACTGGCCTTGACAACTCCGTATATAAGAAGAACATTGGCCTGGCTCCAGCAGACAGCTCCTCCTCGGTGGGTCAACATGAATGCTCTGGTGAGTAGGCTACAAAAGTTAGTGATCACTTGACGCGAGTTCAAGCCCCACCCGTACCGTGGTTTGTTTGCACAAGTTAGTCATTGGAATATCAGTGTTACTCGTTGGTCTTTCAGCAAGTCTAATGTGTGAGTGTGTGCATGTGGATGTGTGCGTAAGAACGCGTGTGTTCAGTGTGTTTGCGTGTGTATGAGTAATTTTGTCAAAGTTTACAGACGGTATTTTTTTTATCCAGTGCATATATGGATGAAGTGCAAGGTAACAATAATCTGAAGCAGTAACATTTATTTTGCTCGCCAAGCTGAAGGCCATATTAAAGCCTTTTACTGGGAAAATAGCGGGAGGGGGGGAGTGAACCTCTTGATCCAGGGAACTGAAGCTAATCTCCCTTGGATCCAGCTTAATTACCTCTTATTCCTCGGATGCTCTCCTATGAATATAATAATAACTTCGCCTTATTCCCAACTAAATGGAGCATATTCACTCAACTTTCCAAGCAACTCTCATCAATCATATATTCTCGAGAGACCCATCCTATAGGTGATAGTCAAAAGATTACAGAGGTACGTAATGTGTCCAGGGAATGGACCTCAGAATTTGTTATTGACAGTATTACAGCAAAAGCTACGACTGTAAAACGTAATCATATTATAAAACACGTTTTGTATTCTGACAGGATTGCTGGTCTTTTCGGTCTCCTGAACATGTAAGATGAAAGGTAAATTTTTCAAACCTTTACCTTCCAATAAACAATTCTGAGTACTTGGCGCACATACGGGCATGAAGCAAGTGCTCTGTTTTCATAATTATTTATTTTAAATTAATTCATGCACAAATTCCCGGACCTTTGATTCGGCACTACCATTGTCTTGTGTAGAATTCTGCGTATATGGTTCTAACATGCTAGTAATGTAATGTGTATTTATTTCTTCAGACTGTACTCTGCATTGCGGCTGCGGCGGTAGGCAGCAGCGGGCAGCTCCTAGGTTACTCTGGTTTGTTTGGTGCCTACCGTAATGTGTTTGGCGTCTATCCTGGTGTGTACGGCGCCTACCCTAGCGTGTATACCGCCCATCATGGGTTCCTTCCTGCAGATTCAAAAATCACTCTGAAGACTATAGCTCCAACACCTTTGACGTACAACGTAGCTCCTCTAGCCCCTGTGGCTCCTGTCCAGTCTCAGTACCACGCCCAAGACGAACTGGGACAGTATTCCTTCGGCTATTCTGGTGGTCCTTCTTCCCGAGCTGAGACTCGTGACGCCTTCGGCATCGTCCGCGGATCATACAACTACATAGACGCAAAGGGTAAGATACAGACTCAACACTATGTAGCAGACGCCCTCGGCTTCAGAGTTGCCGGCACAGATCTGCCTGTGGCACCTGAGGCCACTGCTGCAGGTCCCGACCCTGTTCAAGATACTGCTGAGGTCGCTGCCGCTAAAGCCGTCCTCAAAAAAGCTCACGATGAGGCCGCAGCCGCCGCCGCTGCCGCCCCTGACACCCGCAAAAAGCGTGCAATTTCTGTCGTTCCTACCTACTCTTCCCTTAGCTTTCCTTATGGGCACATCCATCCAATTGTAGTAGGCTCTCGTCTCACCTACACGTCCGCTCTACCTGGTCTTACCACTTACGGGGTTGCCCCCGCCTATACTGGTACCCACGCCCTTGGGTACGCCGCCGTTGCCCCTGTTGCTGCTGCCCTCCGCAACGGTGCCCTCCTCCGTGTTGAGAACAACCCTGGTCATGCTGTCTCCTATCGCGTGGACTAAGGGTAACAGAGCAACCCAACCGATCCCGCTCAAGCTGTGTCCACCATAGTGATCTGGGGGTCGTAGAACACTTATTATAGAGGGTTAGATGGTTACGCCGAAGGCTTTAATTGTGAAAGAAATATTTAGATATGTAGCATATTAAATCATTTATTCGGGAAGAATATTGTACCTTCTTAGTATGGTGTTAATACATTCTCGTGTAAATATTGCTCCCATTACCTAAATTTCTTTAATGCGAATAAGATTTTTAAATAAATGAGTTATGCAATTTTCTATTGTTTCTATTATGATATTTATCCCTTTTCCATATAATCTAAATTTACATCCATGTACATTCACCATTAAGCTGTTTTAATCCTAGCAAAGATTTTCCTCCATTTTTCCATTTCATCTCACATGTTACCTAAGGCAGGGAATTTCAAACCTTTTGAAGCCACGGAGCATATTTTGTTAAAAATACATTACAATAAATTAAGCCAAGAAAAAAAGAAAAACATGTTTTAGTAAGGAACCAAGAATTGGACCTCGAAACTTTGATGTATCTAAGTTAGTTGTAACGAATTATTTACTTATTTAACTCTGGATACAACCTTAATGTAGTTAAACCATACCCCCGGCCGGGATTGAACCCGCGGTCATAGAGTCTCAAAACTCCAGCCCGTCGCGTTAGCCACTAGACCAGCTAGCCACAATAAGATTCATCCAACTAGGTATATTTCTACACCATAGGAAAGTTAGCACAGGCACCTCTGTGACCACAAATGCAAGTTTTTACAGACGAATCTCCAGCTAGCGTGGCCGTGACGAACTCTAGCTCAAGTCCCTAGCTGGTCTAGTGGCTAACGCGACGGGCTGGAGTTTTGAGACTCTATGACCGCGGGTTCAATCCCGGCCGGGGGTATGGTTTATTTGCAATCGTGTCATTACGATTTCTTAAGTCTTAATGTAGTTATATATACTGACATGAATTCAGCCACAAAACATTATAGTGTAGCTAATATGTGGCTGTGAATGATTATGGATTATGATTGTATATTATTATTACAATCACGAGGATCTCTGAAGCCATAGTGGTCATACAGGACAAGAAGGTCATGAGAAACTATCAAGATCAATCCTAAGAAAGGGCGATCAGATCAAATTTCTTGGATCAAGATCCCCTCACCAACGTCTAGGACAATCCATTGAGGGGGTCATGTGAAATAAAATACAAGATGCAATTAAACGTCGTTTAATAGCATTAACGCGGACATTATCATCGTGAACCAGAAATTAAAAACTGATAACATACCCTGATCAGTCGTGCGTTTAGAGACGCTGGTATTTCTTACCATCACTACACATCAAATACTAATAGTTGCCAGTTTTATCTAGATATTTTTACACACTGTGTACATCATCTTTCTCATTAACATAGTATAAATTTATCTCAGGCTCTCAACTCATAGTTTTTCCATTCTGTCAGTCATTTTTTTCATTAAAAATGTATATATATACAAAAGATGGTAGAGTCCTCTCCCATCTTCCTCACAGTTACATGAGATCTGACGGATTACCATTAAGTCTCCATTAAACTTTAAGTAAGGCTACTCAGAGCCTAGCTTGAAATTACTTGACCTAAAATACTATTTTGTTTTTTTCGTATTACTCTAATCTTCTCTGTGAGCGACTTCATCTGCTCAGGTGAAGATATTACATCTCCAGCACTGATGTCCTTAAGCTGTCATTATTATATAAGCATTACACAACATTCAAATGCATATTTTGGATTTGTCTTGGTACAGGCGAGTGTCAGGTGATAAATTCTTCAGCATCCGTTAATATCCTTTCTAGTAGTACGTTTATAATACTTACTCTGGCACCCTGAGTCCATGTGACGACGAGTTCAGGTTGTTCTGGAGGCCGAGGATTATTATTATAATCATGGGGGAGCGCTAAACCCGTAGGATTATACAACGCATGTGAGGGGGATAGAAGGTATTCAGGCTCAATTCAGGGAACCGGAGCACAAATCCAATTCCCTAGATCAAGAGCCCCTCACCAGCGTCTAGGAACCTCCCTTGAGGGGTGGAGGCCGAGGAGAGCCCTACCCAACACAAGAAGGTGTAGCTAATAAAATGGCCACTGAGCGTATATCTCTTGAGGTTTTTATTACTAGCATGTATTACAGAGTTGTGACGTGCATAAATATGGATTGTTAAAAAAATAAATATAGGTTCACAAAATTAAATAGGATTTTTTTTTTTTTAATATTAAGAAAACTGCAGATATTATATTTAATGCAAGTTAAGATTTTCTTAACTTTAACATATCTTGCAAATTCCAAGTTTAAAACAAGTAAATAAGCAAAAATAAACAGAGGAACACGATATATTAAAATCCATTATTATTATCATTTATTCATAATAATAATAATTATTATTATTATTATTGTTTTCAGGGGGAAAACTAAAAAGTACTGATCATAGAGCACCCCAGGGAATGGCAAACAATCCAGTTCCCTGGATCAAACGCTCATCACTGTGTCGATCAACAACTCGTCAGTCTCTTGAAGCTTCTGGGTCTTCTGATGGCATTATGTTACAAACATTAGGCTTCTGGAGTGTCTTAATCTTAAACTCTTAGGCCTCTTTAAATTGCTGAACAGCAACTCCTGGACCACTTCAGAGGGATGATGCAGGCCACGCTCACATTAATATTGTTTAGTTAATAAAAATTCTTATAATGATTGACAACACAGAAAAGTAACAATTAGTATAATCTAAATTGTTTATCTAAGGCCGTCCCGTAGCTCGATCGCTAGCGTACTCAGCCCACACACAGGTCCGGAGATCGAATCCCCGGTACGGCTGGATAACATTAGGGACGTGTTTCCATAAGACACCTCCTGTCTCTGTTCACCCATCAGTATAAAATGGGTACCTGGGTGTTAGTCGACTGGTGTGGGTCGCATCCTGGGACAAAACTGACCTAATTTTCCTGAAATGCTCAGCATAACAAGGGGCTTTCTATATAGTAGTATGTCATTGATGTCAGCTAGGACTGTATACATTATACATGTACTTGTAGAAATAAAGATATTATTATTATTATTATTATTATTATTATTATTATTATTATCATTTGCACTTTGGTTCCAGTGCCACAATCCATCTGTAAATCAACATGAAGAATAAACCCTAAACCAGGTGTTAAAGTCAATTCTCAGCGTATATCCACGAATATATAAACGTCTCTGAGTATATGTACCCGCTGTTCTTTATCCAATAAACAAACCAGTATTTGCACAGGATACAGTATGCGGTTTTAGAAGACTCGATGATCATTTGAAAGTACCCATGGAAAGCACCTGAATAAGCATAGCATTTCGGGCAATTTTATAGTCCGAAAAGTTGGCTGTGTAAAGGAAATGCAGGTGTTAATAGATGTATGGAAGAGTGATACATGGTGGGTGTGACTGTACATAGAAGTGCAGGGCCGGGCAGGTAGCCGGAGGTGAGGAAGACGTGAGGATGCTCATAATGATTGAGGCCATAGCACCAGCCCCGCCCGTCCTGGACCTTGGCAAGTCGTATATAAAGGACGCCTTTGCCTGGTACCAGCAGACAGCTCCTCTTTGGTGGGTCAACATGAACGCTCTGGTGAGTATAACGCACTATTTTTACCTACCTAGCTTGATGTTATATATATATATTTATATATTTATATTTATATATATATATTTATATATATATATATATATATATATATATATATATATATTATATATTATATACTTTGCAAGTCCACAATTTATTATACATTCGTATATTTTCAGAAACCTTCTATATATTGTATGGCTCAAGATCAGAGTATTATTAAACCGACTATTGCGATAATATTGTCTATATTACAACGAGAGAGGTGGAAAGGTGTATCCATAAGATACAACATCGACTTAGTTAAGAGCTCATTAAAAATTTCCTGGAAATCTAAATAGGAATAAATGGTCAAATGTTCTTAAATTAATTTGTGCCAATTAGGTCTTGTGATTCGACGAAAATTCAGTCAATGTAAACTTTATCTGTATTTTCAGACTGTACTTTTTATTGCGGCTGCGGCGGCAGGCAGCAGCGGGCAGCTCCTAGGTTACTCTGGCTTATTTGGCGCCTACCGTAATGTGTTTGGCGTCTATCCTGGTGTGTATGGCGCCTACCCTAGTGTGTATGCCGCCCACCCTAGTGTGTATGCCGCCCATCATGGGTTCCTTCCTACAGCTTCAAAAATCACTCTCAAGACTGTGTCTCCAGCACCTCTGACGTATAACGTAGCTCCGTTCGCCCCTGTGGCTCCCGTCCAGTCCCAGTACCACGCCCAAGACGAATTGGGACAGTATTCCTTCGGCTATTCTGGTGGTCCTTCTTCCCGGGCTGAGACTCGTGACGCCTTCGGCATCGTCCGCGGGTCATACAACTATGTAGACTCTGATGGCAAGATACAGACTCAGAGTTACGTGGCAGATGCCAACGGCTTCCGTGTGGCCGGCACTAATCTGCCCGTGGCCCTCGATGAGAGTCCTGAACCAGTTCAGGATACTGCTGAGGTTGCTGAGGCTAAGGCTGCATTCAAGAAAGCTTACGATGAGGCCGCAACTGCTGCAGCTGCCGCTCCAGACTCCCGCAAGAAGCGTTCAGTCCCTGTCGCTTCTACCTTCGGAACCTACTCTCCTCTCAGCTTTTACTATCGATTCTCTACTCCACTGACCTACTCTCACCCAGTTGTCGTAGGTTCTCCTCTCACCTACAGATCATCTCTGCCTAGTCTTACCACCTACGGGGCTGCCCCCGCCATCACCGCCTATACTGGTACCCACACCCTCGGGTACGCTGCTGCCGCTCCTGCTGTTGCTGCCCTCCGCAAGGGTGTGCTCCTCCGTGTTGAGAACAACCCTGGTCATGCTGTCTCCTACCGCGTGGACTAATTGTAAGAGGAGCCATTCTCGTGTTGTCTCCACCCATATGATCTGGGCGTCGTAGAGCATCTGTCATAGAGGAACTGATGTCTTGCACCGAAGGTTTTAATTATGAAAGAAATGTCTAGAGCAGTCAAATCATAATTTAGCCGACGAAAATACTGTATTATCTGAGCATCAAAGCCTTTATGCTGGTATTGACGAAACACCAACACATGCAAATATCGCTCTTGTTGACTTGAAACTTACTGTCTGTGAATGAGATTATGTAAATGAATAAATGCAATAAACATTACTTATTATAATTATTTATCCTTTTCTCCCCTGCTTTCTCGATTACTATTCAAATGACATTCACGTTTAAGTTTTTCCGAACTTCTCCATCTTGGCCTAGGTACCTTTGAAATACCTTTGAAAAGTTTCGAGAGTTAATTATTCTCTGAGCCCGGCCATAGGCCAGGCTCGTCTGGTGCTTGCCTGGTCAACCAGGCTGTTGCTGCTGGAGGCCCGCAGCCCCGCATATCCATCACAGCCTGGTTGATCTGGCACCTGGTGAAGATACTTGTCCAGTTTCCTCTTGAAGACTTCTACACTTGTTCCAGCAGTGTTTCTGATATCTTCTGGTAAGATGTTGAATAGTCTGGGACCCCGGATGTTGATACAGTGTTCCCTTATTGTCCCCACCGCACCCCTGCTCCTCACTGGGTTTATTTTACACTTCCTCCCATATCTCTCATTCCAGTATGTTGTTATGGCAGTGTGCAGATTTGAGACCAAGCCCTCGAGTATTTTCCAGGTATATATTATCATGTATCTCTCTCTCCTCCGCTTCCATGAATACATGTTCAAGACTTGCAGGTGTTCCCAGTAGTATTCAAATAGTTCTTCTGTTTCCCAGGGTACTGATCTGTGTGGGGGTCTCTGGCTGTATTCTCAATTAAGACTCGCGAAATCGTAATACAATTGGGAAGAAATCAAAGAACGCGTGTGATCTGAACCCATGGCTAGTGATTAATACAGGCCAGTGAGGTGTAGGATTCGCTTGTCATGAGGTCAAGTCAAACCCGCTTAGTTATTTAATTTCTCCATTAAGACCCTATTTTGTCAACTATGATCCATTTGCCACACTCATTGCCCTCGATTTTTTGAACTCTGTCTTTCTAGTTCTAATTATTCTGATATACATTTTCTTCTGACGAATTATAGCACTAAACTAATTTTTCAAAAATACTTTAACTCTGCAAGTATATTATACCAGATATAATGATAATTAAGAAAGTCTTTTGGACACCAGTAAGAGTATGATCTCATCCTAAGATAAATTACTATGTAGTGATTCTCTGTTTTAAGGGAGCAGATGCTTAAGTAGTGAACGGGTCATCACCATGTCTCTCAGTATATGTTTACTGAGGGTTTAATTTACTCCCTAAAATAGGGAGTAAAGTATTCTTAACTGGGGATGAACAAGTTACATACAGCCTTAATAACTCTCGTAAAGGTGATAGGTTGTAAACTTAATTAAACCATACAACTACAAGATTTCTTACAGCAACAATGAAAAGGTACCGGTGGGAAAGAATTAATGAATGGAGAGTCCAAGCCATCCAAGCTGAATAATTTTCAGAACAATACTAAAACAAAAGCCGGTAGATAAATGAAAATGACAAACGTTGAGCAGATATTACAAAAAAAAAAAAGAGACGAGAACTCAACCTCCCCAGGAAAACAGTGAAATTATTCTATAATACGAAAATTTTAACAGGCATGTGTTAAGCTGCTGTTATTTTTGATGAAAAAACATTAAATATAACAAATGAGAGAGGAAATAATTCTCTCATTGCCTATTAATTTAGCCAATTATAACAATTTACAATATTTGCACGACTGCGTCAAAAAGCACAATTTCATCTGTACCAATTGTTTTGTGTTGGGAAAATAAGTTCGTTCAATGTCATATTATGGTGACATGAGTAAACGTTGCTGCTGTTGCGGTAATTACTGTTGTTCCTTTGTCATTATTATTGATGCTGGTGCCATTATTGTTATTGTTGCTGTTGCTTCCTGTTATTGGTACTGCCTCTGCAGGTACTTGTACTGCTGCTGTTACTGTATGATTACTATCATAATACCCATGCTGCTATTGTTACTAATACTAGTGCTCTTATTATTACAATTATTTCTACTGTTACTACTATTTCTACTCTTGCTACTGATATTATACTCGTTACAACATGTACTCTAAATACTACTACTACATAATTATCACTACTATTATTACTACCATCACTGATACTACTACAATCACTACGACAATATTACTAGCAATATTTTGAAACTACCACTGCTACAGCGACTACTTGGTATGTTGCACAAAGCTGATACAACTTTCCTTTCACTCTCAAAATAACTGAAAGATCGAAACACTATCAAAATGCATGTTAAAATTATTGCAGACTACTAGCAGGTATTGAGGTAGAGGAGATGATCCAGCCGGTGAGAGCACAACAGGACGGCTCAGAGGAACCTTTAAAAAAACTTACCCTACATGCTCAGTTTGCCTAATGGTTTCTTCTCCGCCTTTGATGACTTTTCATCCAAGAAATTGGAGCAATCCTCTCTTTTCTTGGATGATACCTGATTACCTCCCAATTCATCAGGCGTCTTATGACCCTACAGGCTTCGCACTTGTCATGAAAACAATAGTAGTAATTCTCCTCTCGACACGTATCAAGATTTCAGTATTTTTTTTTCTGAGCGTCCCACACGGAAAACTGTTAAAAACGCAACACTTGGTATTAGAGGGGGAATTGCATAAATAGGCTGAAATCAGAATAGGGACCGGTTACAAGTGCCGTTGCATAAGGACAAGTGGATAAATAGAAAAGCATGTTGAACATTTAGAAAACCTTTAATGTGGATATATTTTGCCAACCAGAAATAGAGGCTGTACAGCCTGCCTGAAGCCGTCTGTGTACTTGAAGAATTTCACTGTAATGTTATTGTTTGCTAACATGGCTTCCTCAATAGGCTCTGAGGTCTCTGTCGTGTTTAACAAGCAGAATTAATACTTGTAAAGGAGATTCTAATTCTTAAGGAAAATAAGAAATCGAAAATTTGTTTAGATAAGTGTTAATAATGAATACGTAGGGGTTGGCAGTAACAAAGAGGGAGACATACAAGCAGTAATGAAGGGGAAAAATGTTAATAGCAATGGTGAGAAAACGGTTTGCAGAAAATGCAGAAATATAAGACTGAGAGAGCAGAGTGAAGAATATACATCGCTTTGCTATTATCTACGACGAGTGTAGAGTCGTCAATAAAGAGAAAGACAGGAAAAGCGCATCTAAACTATAGGTAAGGAAATGCTACTTATCGTTTTGAATCGTAACTTAAATTCACGAAAAAAAAAAAAACATTCTGCAATATGGACACGAAAGCCAGACGGAGTGTGTTACTCAGTAGCTGGCATGGAAGATATTATCAAGTTGGATAACATATCAGGTAATGCAAGCCCCATTACCTGCCTCAGTACTGCAGGAAATAATGTTAGGAAAAGCAGAAAGCAGAACTTGCTTACCAAATACAGGATAACTACTGAGTTAATAAAGTCAAAGGGAGGGAGCCCAGTCGTATGTAGCATTTTGTTTATAAGGGGAGGGCAGTGAATGGATGTCTGTGACAAAGGGTGTATGTAAACGTCTGGATATACAAGTATTTGTAGATGAATGGTTCAGAGAACCGACATGTTGATAAATTAGACACATGTGCAACTCTTGGGTATCTTTATTGAGGAAACGTTTCGCCACACAGTGGCTTCGTCAGTCCATACAAAGGAGAATCTTGAGTTGAGGGACTGATTACCTCATTCTCCTCCTGTTCTTCAAGATTCTCCTTTGTATGAACTGATGAAGCCACTGTGTGGCGAAACGTTTCCTCAATAAAGATACCCAAGAGTTGCACATGTGTCTAATTTATCAACATGTCGGTTCTCTGAACCATTCGTCTACAAACCTGTCAGACACTGCAACTTCTTGGGATCTTAATACTTGGGAATTCTTCGCTTGCCTAATTCTTGAGCACGACCTACTTCCACATTGAACAAATGTGACACCACCTATGACTGCTGCACCTCTCCTACCAACGGTTTATAAGCTCCTTCTCCGCACGTATGCCGTATTCTATTCAAGATTGATGGACTGACCACATCGATTCAAGGTTGAGGGACTGATTACCTCATTCTCCTCCTGTTCTTCAAGATTCTCCTTTGTATGGACTGATGAAGCCACTGTGTGGCGAAACGTTTCCTCAATAAAGATACCCAAGAGTTGCACATGTGTCTAATTTATATACAAGTATTGCAAGGACCCTAATATTCATTCACTGACAACTAAGCTTCTTTCTATGGCAACCATAATATGTATGCAAGAAACTGAGCATCTGTCTCTCTCTGGTGCAGGGGATCATAGTGTTAGTTCAGTCGCGGGAGCCATTGCTAAATTGTGGAAGATTTTTAATTAGCTGATAGAAGACTGAGGTACGGAAGTACATGGGACTGTAGGTGTTTCAGTACTAGGGACAGAAGAAGCAAAAAATTGCCAAAATAATTTAGGAAAACGTTCAGATAATAGGATAGCTCATAAGATAATTGCTGATAAAAATAGGAATAATCTACAAAGAGACAGGAAACAGAAGAGGAAAAATTACCTTAATGTCTTCTGTATGAATAACCAAAACAAAAAAAAATAAATTGAGTCTAAGACTTAAATTCTCCATAGGACTTAGGAGGCTCAACCAACACATCGACTTTATCTCCTGAAACTATACAGCAACATTTCCGAAGAGGATATATATCCAGACAATAGGAATAAGCGTTGTAAGCATGAGTGAAGACAACTACATTAGAAAATAAAATTTGAGCCTTGAAACAGGACTCCAGCACATCTGAGATTTACACTAAGAATGAACTGAAAAAAAGGACTTCTGTCTGAATTCCGGAGGATTCTAAAG